TATATATATATATATACTTGTATAACATTTTAGTTGTTGGTACTAATTTTTGTACATGTATATACATAATTAATTGTATATCCAGAAACTACTATATGTTAATCTTAGATAAAATTATGTATGTGTTTTTCTCTATTTGTAGTTAAACCATCAAGCTTAGGGATTATTACGAGTTGTTAGATACATAAAAGAAAAAGAAAAATAATTAAACACAAAAAATAAAATGATTTTTTTCCTATTAATTTGGTTTTTCGTAAATAAACATATATGCATATAATTTTCATATACTTCCTGCTTTACACTTTTTTGTCTAAATTATTATTTATAACTTCGATTCGTATAATAAAGGTAAAACATTTGACATAGTTATTTTATAAAGTGTTTTACCAAATGTTTAATAATTTAAAAATGTATTTTACAAAGAATTACTTACCAAAACTATAATTATCTGAAATCACAACCTTATAATAATTTTCCGATGTATACGTTCTAATATAACTTGTAATATAAATTAATTTAAGCAAATATTTCAATTATATTCAACAATTCAAAATTAATGTTAATCAATTTTAAACTAATTAAATTTTAAAACAAACAGATCCTAATTAGTTTAAAATTCTTAATCAAAACCCATAAAATGATGTTTTTGTAATAATTTCTGAAATATATTTTTTATAAATTCATAACTTCACTTATCTCCAAAAGATTTATTTTATCAAATGTTTAATAATTTATGTTTGAACTAGAGTTACTGTAAAATAATAATTATTATAAAATAACACGTGAAAATAATATTATTACTTTTTAAATACTCAAATACATTCCAAATGGGACAGAAATATATATGCAATTCCACTTTACACCGTCAAGGTTTAACAAGCACAAAAATCCAAAACAAGACACAATATCTTGTTCAGATGTATAATTATCAATATTTCGTAGTACACATGACATGATTGTCTATTTCTATTCTATTTCATTTTACTCTGTCAAAGGCTAAGGGTCATAATAGATTTATAAAGGTCATACATATTAAAAAATGACTCCTCAATGTTCTTCCTGAAACATTTCATTCACAAGGATGTGCTCAACGGTGCTTCTTACCGGCACCCTTTTTACCATGTTTCTTCTTACCACCATTCCCTTTCCTTGTATTGGACATTCTGGTTCCACTTTCATGATCTCTTGATGGTGCTGAATTTAACAAATGCTTCACATTGAGTATGCCATTTCTAAAATGACCTTCACTTGACTTCAGGCCCCTGTTCTCTAGCTTGTGCTTCCCAGCTGATCTTTTACTGCTACCACCAAGCTTTCCCCCAAAATGTCCAAGAATCAAACGCTAAAAGCCACAACGTTGTACATATTATGTATGAATAATGTCAGTAAGAGACGGACAGAAAAATATCGAGGGGATAAAAGCGGGGAATGATAGAAATGAATTACCTCTTGGAGCATTTTCTGCTCCCTCTCCTGTTGTTTCTTCATCATTGGTCGTGCCACACTTAAAGGTAATCTCTGATTCTTAGGGGGCTACATATGGTGAAATGATAATCAATAGGAAATTTGTTTATGATCATGCTTGTAATAGTATTTGCTTTGGCACATGGCAAACAAAATAAAAAATCAACAATAGTCCTCACCTTCCCTCCAAGAGAAACAACATTCCTATTTTCAATCTTTTTGCGTTCTTTCCATGTCATATGTGAGTAGCCTGGAAAATACGATAGTTAGCAGCCATTATAGGAAGCAACTGCACTACCATTTTTTCTGAATGTAGTGGAAAGGCAAACAAAAGCTGGAGAACTAGGTATGTATGGTTACCATTAATTTTTCAGCTCTAATACCACAATATTGAAATAAAGGAACAAACTTTTTCTAATCATTCATGCATTCAATATACAAAGAAAATCAATTATAGCCCACATATTACTCAACAACTTCTAAGTAGTGTTCTTATATTTCCAACAACAAAACCCTCAAGAACGCCAATGGCAATCAACTATACAGTTCAATTCAATCCACTAAATCATCCTGGTTAAAGAAACTATAATCATAGATAACGGCAGAATTAACATAAAAGTTACAAGCAACCCTAAATTTTACAAGAGAACGTGAAAGAACAGTGAGAAGTTGCAGCCATTACCACATATCCTAAATTAGAAGTTTAGGTTGAGACAGTTTCAACTAAGAATAAGTTATGTTTTGCACAAAAAAATAAAAAGACTTTATATGGAAAGGAGAACTACAAGGAAGAGAATAATATACCCATGAAAGCTTATTCCTTGACCAACAGAATTAAGAACTTTAAAAGTTTCAAACTCTTCCAAGAACTTCCAAATCCATAAACATATCAGTTGAAACATACAATAATAATTCATAACTTCCTTTAACAATGCATTGGCATCTGTTCATATGACACTAAGCTTTGAAACTATGAAATTCAGTGTCAGCATTCCTATCACATCTATCTAGCTACATGAATAAAAATCAACGAGTTCAGCTACCAAGTATGCATTGTACAGCTATTCAAGAATCAAGATGCATCAGACAAACCAAAGAAATCCAACCAAATTATATGAAATATTATACTAAGAAGCAAGAACATAATCATCCACTTGTCTTCTATTGAATTGAATATCAAAACCACATCTACAGAAAGATGATTCAAAAACTAAAAAAGATAAAGACAACACAATCTTCCTTACTAAAATTTTCAACATCTTTCATAATCTTCCTTAAGTCCATTTTATGTTCTTGCGTATCAGTATTTTCTCTTGGAGGTCCATGCCCACCAGCTTGTTTCCTATTCTTGTACATCTTTCCCATCACTGCATTGAAAAATGAAAGGGAAAAAAGATTGAAGGGGAAAAATTAGGAACATGGTAGTAGGTATCGGATGTATCGCGATACGATACGATTCCGAGGTTCCGCGATTCGAATCACATGTCATCTCGTTTTTTATCAAGAATCGCATGTGAATCGTGCGTATCGTGGCGTGAATCGGAAAATTCGCGATTCTGGACTAAATCGCACGATTTCGAAACAGCGGGTCGCGCCTCGAAACCGGGTCGGATCACGCGAGACCCGATTCTGGAAACCCTAAAAAAATAGTTTCTTTTTAGAAAGAAAAAAAAGCAGAAAAGAGAGGGAAAGTGCCGATCTGTCTTCTTCTCCGACGAATCTCCGTCGATTTGTCTATTCCGGCGGATCTCCGTCGATCTTTCTTCTCTGACAGCGGCTCTGTCTACACCGACGGTCGCTATGTCTTCTCCGGCATCTGCAGACCTGTCTTCTTCTAAGAGGGAAGGCGGCGGCGGCGGCGACGGCTTGAGTCTTACCATTAAGAAGGGTTGCAGGATAAATAATTAGAACTGAAAAAGTTGGGCCGGGCCAAGTTTTATTTTATCATTCGATTTGGTTAACAGGCCTTTTACTTCACTTTTTGTTTTTTAGAAAGCAACTTCTCTTTATTATTAGACTGATGATATATACACTTTCACTTTTTTATACATACACCCCTTTTTTAAAAAAATATTAAAATTTTAAATTATCCTTAATATTATTTGAAATTAAAAAAAAATTATCATGGAAAATTTTTTCGGAAGTGTATTTGTACATAATTACGGAAAGTTCTTTCCGGAATACTAAAATTACTATTCTGAAAATAACTTTCCGTCGGAATAATTATGGAAAGTACTTTCCGTAACACTAAAATTACTATTACGGAAAGTATTTTCCATAATTATTTTGACGGAAAGTTATTTCTGGAATAGTAATTTTAGTATTCTGGAAAGTACTTTCCGTAATTATTCTGATGGAAAGTTCTTTTCGGACGGATAGCTCATGATATATACACCTCCTGTTTTTTTATAAGTACACCTTCTTTATATTTTTAAAAAAATTATAAAATATTATATATATTTTTTAATTTTATACCTTTAACTTTCAATTTTCTACTTTTTTCTTTTTTTTCACACTTTTTTTTTCTTTCAATTTTTACATGCTACCAAAATAGGTGAGGTGAAAGAAAAATAACGGGGTGCATGTAAAAATTGAAAAAAGAAAAAAAGAAGAAAAAAGAAAGATCTGTAAAAAAAGTACTAAATTAAATGTTGTGAATGTAAAATAAAAAAAATAAAAAAAATAAAAATTAAGAATATTTTAAAATTTTAATTATTTTTTTTGAAAAGGAGGTGTACTTATATGAAAAAGGAGATGTATATATCATCAACCTTTGAAAAATATTTTCTATAATAATTTTTTTTATTTCAAATAATATTAAGAATAATTTAAAATTTTAATATTTTTTTTTAAAAAGGAAGTGTATGTATGAAAAAATGGAGGTATATATATCATCAACCTTATTATTAATTACTAGAGAGACAAAGAGAGTACCATTTTTGAGAGGCTTTGTGTGAAGAGAAGTGGGAGTGGGATTGGTTCAAAGTTGAGGCGCGGCTGAAGAACTAGGGTTTGCTGAGAATAACAACACTTTTGAGGATAGCAGTAATGGGTCTGTGCAAATTCGACCCATAATATTTAAAGCCCATTTCAGCTTCTAAAGTTAAGAGTTCTCTAGTTCCTGGCCCCCAAAAAATAAAATGTTTACATATTTTTTAGAAAAGGTCATGGATTCAAGGGAAAAAATATATATATAACCGAATGAGATATTTTAACGGTACATGTTTTTTAAAATATTTTTTTAATCTTTAAGAGTATGTATTTTAATTTGTACAATTATATATTTTTAAACATATATTATATTTTAAATTTAAGAAAAATAATTAGTATTATAGTCTTGATAATGTACATACATGTTGATTATATTTAACTATTAAAATTGAGATATTTTATATCTCTATTAAAAATAAAATAAAAGTTAAAATTAAATAATAAAATAGTATAATAGTCTATCAAATATAAAGATCAAATAGTTATTAAAAGGTTATTCTTTTTATAGATTAGTATAGAATATAGATTATCTATAACTTAAGATAAAGGGGATACAAAAAGGTTTTAGTCTCCACTTTTCTTTATCTAATTTTAACGCTTACTGGTGGTTACTCTCTTAAAAAAAATAACTACTTTTTTTTTAAAATAATAACCATTTTCTTTTAAAATAATAACCACTCAACATATTAAATACTATTTTATTTTACTTCTAATGGTGAGACTAAACATATTGGCTTGAATCTCACCATTAGAAGGGTTGCAGGATAAATAATTAGGGCTGAAAAAATTGGGCCTGGCCAAGTTTTATTTTATTTTTTGATTTGGTTAAGGGGCCTTTCACTTCACTATTTTTTTTAGAAAGTAACTTCTCTTTATTATTAACTATTATTATTATTATTTAGATAATATTTTAAGTAATAAAAAATTTAATATAACACCTTAAATATTTTATTTTCTTTATTTTTTTATTTTGTTTAACTACTATAAATTTTTATTATTAAAAATATTTAATGTATAAATTAAGTTATGTTTCTATTTTTATATGTATATTATTATTAACCACAAGCGTGTGGTTCAGCGGTAGGGATCTACCCTTAAGCAAGGTCAAGGGTTCGAATCCTGCCAGCTATCTCACCCTTTGAGGTGCCTCCAACCTAGCGAGGAGATTAGTCACCGCTATCGGCCTTGGATAGTCCAGGGACGAACCACAAGAAAAAATATGTATTATAAATTATTTAAATTTTTATATATATGTAAAAATAAATAAATTAAAATATATTTATATATTATTAACTATATATTAATGTATGATTTCATTTTTTATGTTTATTTATGTTAAAATATGTCTTGAGT